AAAGTGTGGGGGACTTCCCACCCTTGTGCGCGCCCTGCCCTCAGCAGCGACCCCTTCCCCTCTCCGGTCCAGCCCCACAGATCAGCCTGGGAGAGTTGATTTGTGTCCAGGGCCTGCAGCTGAGCTCACCAGCCTTCATGAGCACCACCTATGTGGCCTTGATCTACAGGCAGCTGGGCGCCTTCATTTTAGGTGGCCTGGCCAGCTGCTCCCTGACCAGCATTGCCAAAATGGCCACAGGTCTCCTGTGGCCCCATTCCTGGCTGCGTGCCTACCTGACCCAGCCTCCTTTACTGTGAGAGTGCTACATCACCAGCTACACCTGCACTGGGCACCCTGAAGACATCCTTCATGCCAGGCGAGTGGGTGGGCAGAGAGGGGAACCCCGGAAGCATCCCCACCCCTAACCCCCAACGCCGGCTGATGCTCGCCCTCCCCCCACCCACCTCCCAGGCAGTCCTTCTATTCTGAGCACGCCTCCGTGGGGATGTACTCCATGGTGTATCTGGTGGTGAGTGTTGGTGGGAGGTGGGCCAAGCACCCAGGAAGACCAGAAAATGCTCCATTGTCCCCCTGCCCCCTCGCCACCCCGCGGTTGGTGCCGGCAGTGCCAGGCACGCCTTCCAGAGAGCTGTGTGTTCCCCTCAGAGTTGGGAGGGCAAGAATGGGAGGGCCTGTCTCCTCTTAAGACTCATTCAGCGTCCCTGTCCGGGAACAGCAACTTTCAGAACCCTCTGTCTCCCCCTCACTGCAGCTGGAGAGGGCCCCTGCCAAGCTGGGTCCATGCCCAGGGCTGGGCTCCGCCAAGGGCAAGGGGAAGGAAAATGAGACCCAGCTGAGGTGTAGGTCTAAGCTTTGGGCGGTGAAGTGGCAGGAGGAGCGGGGTGGGGAGGGGGGAGCCTCTGGGAAGGAGCCGATGACCCACGGGCCCCATGGACAAAGAAAGCGTTGACTCGGGATGGGGGGGTAAGGCAGAAGCGGATCGCGCCCACCGGAGCCAGCCCGGAGCCCCCAGGCACCGTGGTGGGCAGACACAGAGACACAGACAGAAGCCCTGGCCACAGGGCATGTGATGGTCACATGGCTACCTTCACATCAGCAACATTTTTTCCTTCCTGAAAGACAGTCCATTTGACTACTAGCTTTTTTTTTTTTTTTTTAAGATCAAGTAACAAAGTAACTACAGCTTCCTGTAGTGATAAAAGCTCAGGCTTTGGAGCTGGAATGCACCTGCTCTATTCCCAGCCTCAACTGCATGAGAGACACTCAGCCTCCTTCAGCCTCTGTTTGCTTATGTGTTAAGTGGGTGTGGAAACAGCACTTGCCTCCTAGCGTTGTGGTTTCATGAGTTTAAACATAAATAAGCTGATACACTCAAAGCTCTTAGAACAAGGTCTGGCCGAAAGGTCACTATCATCATTATTAACAAAAGGCAAAACAGACTCCTTTGGTCCCCGGGCTGGGCTGGGGGCTGAGGTGCACAGACAGATCACACGCAACTAGGAGGCAGGTCTTGCCCAGATTTTATGGACCCAGGAAAGCGTGGTCAGCTTCATGAACAGAATGTTCTGGGTCTCAGGGAATTCCCCCACCTCTAAGTGTTCTTCAAGGGCCCGTGTTTGATTTTCCCCCCGAAACACACAACAGCCACTGTCCTGTTCTTCCTGCTCGTCTCAAGGAAGGAAACTTCACCTGGTGCCTAAAGATAGGATTTTTTTTTTCCTGTTTTCCATTTTAAAATCAAGAACTCAACCTCTGCTTTTTGAGGGTTTCCTGATGGGATGCATCTGGCTGGACTGGAGATCGGACACTGGCGGGAAGTGAGAGGACCCGGTCACAGTCTGAGCTTACCCGTGGGGTCTCGTCTGACTGCTTAGGAAGTAACTCGCCATCTTACAATTCTCCCGAAGCTAGTGTGCGGTTAATAGCATGACGTTCTTTTGCAGTGATGGTTTCAGGGGCCACAGCCCCCATCCTCTTCAGAGGCTGAAATCCATTTCCACACAAAACTGGCAGACCAGACAGGCAGGTGGGCAAAAAATGCAGCCCCCGGGGTGAAGACCCTCTGGATACTGGCTCCTGGGGCTTCAAAGCCACTGCCCACCTGCCTTCCAGCTCTGTGTACAGGCCGGTTCCTGGGGACAGAAAATCTGGCTCTTACAGCCCGCCATCCAGCTCCTTTTCTTGACCCTGGCTCTGGTCACGGGCTACATCCGGGTCTTGGACCATTGGCACCACCCCTGTGATGCCGTCTTCGGATTCTTACAGGGAGCTTTGATGGCTTTCTGGGTGGTAAGTGATGGCATAGGACACTTGGCTACCAGAGGTGGTCTACTTGCCTGAGAGCCATTGGGTACATCTGGCGCTCCTCACCTCCCAGGATGGGAGCCCAAGAGAGGCAGGCTCGGGGAGGGAGCGGCCATGAGGTGCAGGTGATGCCAGTCCACCCCAGCCCCTCCCCGCTTCATCACTGCAGGCTTTCTGCATCTCAGGCAATGCCAGGTCCCAGAAGCTCCAGGTGCTGGACGGCCACCCAGCCCCAGCTCTCCGCTTGTTTCCCCCTCTCCCCTCTCGGGATTCCTCCCATGAGGACCCCCATGTGGCCCAAGGGATGCCCTGATGCAGAGAAAGGCAGAGGGCGCCCAGTGCAGGGCCTGGACTCTCCAGGGAGCTATCCTTTCCCAGGTGGGCTAATCCAGGAAGCCCCTCACCTCTCTGGAGCTCAGCCCTCACCCCACCAGCACTGCCCTGGTGGGTGACACAGGAATCCCCATTTTCTGGGGCTGAGCCCCACATCAGCCCCTCCCAGCAGAGCCATTTCCACTGTTATGTTTTTATGACTCTTGATGTATTAAAAGATGAAATGCCAAACTGATACATATTAACATTGGTAGACCTCCTGTTTCAATCCGGGGACTGTGTCTCAGGTGTCAACTGTAACAGCATCTGTGTTGGGTGATAACCTCAAAAGTCTACATCAGGGGGAGGGTATAGTCAGTGGTAGAGTGCTTAGCACGCACGAGGTCTTGTGTTCAGTCCCCAGTGCCTCCCTTAAAAATAGATAAATGAAACTAATTACCTCCCCCTCCACAAAAAGATAAAGAAAGGAAGAAAGACAAAAGAACATTTAATTTAAAAAAAAAGTCTCCATCAGGTTCCTCTACCTTGGCTACTGCCATTGGCCTTTGGGGCCAGACCATGCTTTGCTGTAGGGCCGCCCTGTGTACTGGAGAACAATGAGCAGCATCCCCAGGCCCCGCCCCCGGGTGCCAAGATCAAAAATGCCTCCAGATATTGCCAAGTGTCCCCTGGGGCACAAATCACCCCCAGCTGAGAATTCCTGGGTCAGGGGATTCCACTGACTCCCCCAAGAGGCTCTGTGCTCAGTAATCATCTGACCTCCTGAGGTCCTAGGATGCTGCACTCATTTATTCAATACACAGAGAGAGGCGGTAACTCACAGATGCTGGGGCCGGGGACGGGGGAGGGGGTCACCCTCGTTTATACTGTCTGACCCATCAGGGATTTATTCTGGTGTCTAATGTGAGCCTAAAGATCTAACTCAGTTTTTTTTTTCCCCTCAAATAATTAACACAGGGTTTCTTAGCCCTGAGCACTACTGACAGTCAGATCAGATAATCCTTTGGGGCAGGGGATACTGTCCGGTGCACCTAGAATGTTCAGCAACATCCACTCAGGAGATGCCGGTAGTACACCCCACCCCCCAAGCCAGGCTTAACATGTCCCTAGACATCGCCAAGCAAGCATCCCTGGAGGGCAGAATCGCTCCCAGTTGAGAAGCACAAAATTAGAAGGCTGGAGGGAGACTGCGGAGTCCAAGCCACACAGCCCATCTGGCTAACCCCACCCCTGCCCCACAGTAGCCAGAAGCCATGGAGGAGGAGGAGGAGGCTTCCTGGGATGGCCTCCTGGAGGTGGCCCCAAGAGGTCAGGCCTTTGCTAGTGCACAGAAAGTCTTGCCCAGCCCCTGATAATCATTGCAATACTAATGGCTACAATTTATTGTTTACTCTGTGAATGGAAACTGGGGCCATCTTGTAAACGGGGCCATCTCTTGGACTCTCCCAACCCAGGCATTCTTGGCTGCCCCATCTTGCAGGAAATTCAGCCATAGAGAAGCCAAGTAGCCTGTGCAAGGTCATACACTAATAAGAAATGCGAAGGCAGGGTGATGGTTTATGATAAATCTTATCAGTGGAGCAGAGAGGTGCCAATCTGGGGGGAGCAAGGCAGCCCCCACGCGCACACTGTCTCCACAATATGTAATCCATCTATAAGTCTTAATCTTTGATGTTTCACCCCAGGCAAGGCTAAGGGTGACCCCACCTGCCACAGACCCAAAGCCCAACAGAGGCGTTCAGGGGGAGGGCACAGTCCCCCCAACCTCCATCAGCGACCACAAGCATCCGCAGTCAAACATGGAAGGAAAATCGTGGTTTTACTTACTACGCATCTTCAAGACAAATCCTGCAGGAACCGACCGCCCCCACCTCCCAAAACAGATGGCTCCTCCGGGGCTCCTAGCTCGGCCCCACTAGGAGCCCTCCCAGTTCATGCAAGGGTTCTGGCGAATGGGACCTGCACGGAATCGGAAGGGAGGCTTCGGACAGAAACTGAGGAAGGGTCGCCGAGGGCGGGACGGGGGAGAGGCAGGGTCTTCCCGCTGCTTGTTTACCGGCTCTGTCCCTTCCCCCGCCCAGTCTCTGCAAAAGCCTGGTCGCCAGGCCCGGCTGGGGCGGGCGAGTGGGATGGAAGGAGATGCTACTAATGGCGTCTGGGGGGCCTCGTCCCCACGGCCGGGGGTCGCGGGGCACCGGGCTCCGGCGCGCCCCACGCCCCCGGGGGTCTCCAGGCGGCAGGAGAGGGAGATCCTTCCATCCCCGCACCCTCCGTCCCGGGGCGGGACCAGGGGGCGGAGCGGGCCGGTGACCGGCCGTGACGCGAGCCCCGCCCGCTCATATAGAGGCGCCCCGGGGGCGCAGGGACCGTGCTTCGCCGCCGCGGCCGCCGCGTCCACCTCCCGCCCCGCCGCCGCAGTTGCAGCACCAGCGCCACCGCTGCCGCGTTCACCGTCAGCGCCACCGCCATGCGGGAGATCGTGCACCTGCAGGCCGGCCAGTGCGGCAACCAGATCGGAGCCAAGGTGCGCGGGCGGGCGGGCCCGGGGAGGCGGCAGAGGGATGCGGAGCCGGGTCCACCGAGCTCCGCAGAGCTAGTCCACCACTGGCCTTTGGGGGAACGGGGTCCCCCAGGAGGCGAGCCCCCCGGGGACGGTGGGGGAGGGGCGCGAGGGACAGGGCCAAGCTGGGAACAAAGAGGCTGATGGGGGTGGGGCCCAGCCTTCTGTCTGCTTGCCACAGCTGGCTTCACAGCTGGCCCACTGTCCCCTCCACACGCACAAAGAGACCCCGCCCCTCCCCGCGGCAGCAGCCACGGAGCGCTGACACCAGCCCGCAAGGCTGGGGTGGTGACTTGGCTTCACCCCGCCCCCACCTCTCCCTTCTTGCTGCCTCATCCCTGCCTCCCCACTAAGCCTCTGGGTCCCCAGTCACCTTGCTGGGGGACAGGTGGCTGCTGGGGAGGTAGTTGGGGAATGGGGATCCTAAGCCCAGAAGATGGAGGTCAGGGCACCTGCTGGCTGCTGATCTCTTGGTCCTTACGAACGCCACCCCTCCAGTTTTGGGAGGTGATCAGTGATGAGCATGGCATCGATCCCACCGGCACATACCATGGGGACAGTGACCTGCAGCTGGAGAGAATCAACGTGTACTACAATGAGGCCACAGGTACGAGGCAGGGGGCACCTGCAGGAGCCCGGGCAGGGTGGAGGACAGGAGGAGTGGGGAAGAACTGGGAGGGGACAGAATGCTGGTTCCTGGCACCGACCAATCTGCTCTCCATCTGCTTCCCTGCAGGAGGAAATTATGTCCCCAGAGCTGTGCTGGTGGACCTGGAGCCGGGCACCATGGACTCTGTCCGCTCTGGCCCCTTCGGCCAGATCTTTCGGCCGGACAACTTTGTGTTTGGTGAGTCACAGACATGGGACACAGGCAGGGAAGCCCCCCTGACCTTTTCACTTGCACATGCTTGGTGAAAATTCACCACCTAGCATCTAGACTCAACGGGGACCACAAGGACCCAGAGCCCAGTGGGGAAGGCAGACACACAGGCCACTGTGGAAGCGCAGGGGAGGTTTCTGGGGGGAGATGCCGGGTAGAGAAGTCTTCCCGGAGGATGTGGCATTTTAATTTAACTGTATGGACCTGAGCCAGATTGCAAATCCTACCTCTGCATTCGGCAAATACTTATGAACGCATACTGCGTCCCGGGCCCTCCTGTATCCCCTGAGGATGCAGCCAACAACAAAACAAAGCTTTCTGTCCCCCTACCCCACACCTGGAGCTGACATCCTGGTGGAGGGAGATGGGAAGATAAATAAATGGGAAGAGAAAATAAATAAGTCAAACTTAACCACTGACTGGGTCAGCTGGATGATTTTTGGACAGGCTCTTCAGTCTCTCTGTGCCTCAGTCTCTCCAACTTTAATCCAGGATTCATGGGATCGTGAGGCTTAAAGCCATTCGTCTGTATAAAGAACTTAGAACAATGCCTAGCACAGAGGAGAGGATGAATAAGCATTTGATGTTGTTGTTGCTGCTGTAATTACCATTATCAGTATTAATATCTGCAGCCCAAAAGATGAGTAGGGCTTGGGCTGACCAAAGGGCACTGACGGGAGGACAGATGTGAAAGGCAGGGGGAACAGCATATGCGAAGACAACGAGCACATCTGCAGCACTCAGATCCAAGGGGCATGCACACGCTGTGAACAGCCTTCTGGGAAACCTTTCCTGGTTCCTCTAGGTCAAGCTAAAGGCACACCCCCCACCTGACCTCAGGGCCCAGGCTCCTCCTCCCCCAGCACCTCTGCCCTTTAGGGCACCGTCATTTAGTCTGGAGTCTAGGGCGTGACAGGACAAGTTGTGTGACCTTAGACAAGTGACTTCCCCTCTTTGGTCTATGCAAAGTTTGAGCAAAACAATGATGATTCTGTGTGGGTATGGCACACAATAGGTCCTCAAGAAATGGCTGTGGAAAGACTAAATGAGGTTGGCCAAAGGATGTGAGAGATTCTAGGACGACCATGGGTGACTCCAGTCGGGCCAAAGATTCCATGACCTCGGGAGGCAGGGCAGGGGAAGTGGTAGTCAAAGTGTGGACTCAGGAGCCAGACCACCTGGTTCAAATAATATTCTCCCAGAGGAGATGACATTGAACAGAGACCCAAAGGAAGAGCCAGTCATGAGAGTGCCTGCGGGGAGAGAATCCCAGGCAGAGGGAACAGCACGCATGAAGGCCTTGGGGCAGGAGCAGGCCTGGTGTGTTGGAGGAAGAGTGAGAAGGCCCATGTGGCCGGAGCAGAGCGAGGGGGAGAGAGGGAGGAGGTGAGGGCAGGGAAGTGAGGTGAGTTGTGCAGGGCCTGTGGGCCGCGGGGAGGACGTGGGCTTTTACCCCGAGGGCGGTGGGAGCCCTGGAGGGCTGTGGGCAGAGGAGGGGCGGGGCCTGACTCAGGCGCTCACGGGCGCCCTCTGGCGGCCGCAAGGAGAACAGACTGGGGGCAAGCTGTGGGCTGCCACTGGGGGGACCAGAGCAAAAGTGGCTGTACCCATCCAGATGGGCAGTGAGGGGACTGGACCAGGGTCGAAACAGAAGAGGAGGCAAGAAGAAATGTTACCTGTTCACAAAAATACCAGCCAACATTTGGATCCTAATCCTTGTTCTCTGGAGCTTACATTCACCTGTGAGATCACAGACAATAAACATGATCAATTTAAAACAAAACAAAACGAAACAAAACAAAACAAAACGGGTTTGTCAGTGCTGTGGAGAAAAATGAAGCATGAGAGACAATTAGAAATGGAGAAGGTTTGCAGTCGTATAGCGTGATCAGGCAGGACCTCACTGAGGGTGACCGTCCCAAAGGAGGTGAAAGAGTGAGTTACGTGGGTATCTGAGGAAACGGCATTTCAGCAAGGGGAAAGCATATGCCAAGGTCCTGAGGCAGGACCATGCCTGGTGTGTTGGAGGAGCAGTGAGGAGCCGATGTGGCTGGAGCAGAGTGAATGAGAGAGGGAGAAACAGAGACAGAGACAGAGAGAGAGAGAGAGGAGGGGAGGACAGGGAAGGGAGGGGAGGACTTGGGCTTCTACTGAAAGATGGAAGGACTGGGGTGATTTTGAGCTAAGGTGGGACACACTTTGACTGAGGCTTTATCAGGATCCATCTGGCTGCCGGGTGAAGGGATGCCAAGGGAACAATTCACCGTCATCATTTTGTCATTATTATTCTTCACCTACTACGATGGCTTGGGGGTAGGGCTGAGGGTGGCTCTCCCTGTAATACCTGGGTGTCCCCTCCCTTACCCCTTCAGGCCAGTCCGGAGCCGGCAACAACTGGGCCAAGGGCCACTACACAGAGGGCGCCGAGCTGGTGGACGCCGTCCTGGACGTGGTCCGGAAGGAGGCCGAGAGCTGTGACTGCCTGCAGGGCTTCCAGCTGACCCACTCACTGGGGGGTGGCACGGGCTCTGGGATGGGGACCCTTCTCATCAGCAAGATCCGCGAGGAGTTCCCGGACCGGATCATGAACACCTTCAGCGTGGTACCGTCGCCCAAGGTGTCGGACACGGTGGTGGAGCCCTACAACGCCACCCTGTCCGTGCACCAGCTGGTGGAGAACACGGATGAGACGTACTGCATCGACAACGAGG